TGACCACGCCCACTTTTCAAAAAAATGTTAAACTCCGAATGCCCCTTTCTAATGTGATCCTTCATACCAAATCACAGTCTGTTATCTTATTGCGGGGCTTAGTTATGGTAATTTATTTGCTTTTGATTAATGGCGTTTTGTGGGCATGGCAGAGGACTGATTACGCCCATCTGCAATACCAACTGTATTACGGTACCAAGAAACATATGTGCCAAGTTTCATAAAGATATCTCAATTTTTAGTCAAGTTACAGCTTCCACAGACGGACGGACGGACAGATATATGGACCGGATATCAACTCGTCTCTTCATCGTGATTATTTATATATATAACACCCTATGTCTAACTCGATTAGTTTAAGGTGATACAAACAACTGTTAGGTGAACAAAACTATTATACTCTGTAGCAACAAGTTGCAAGAGAATGGTCAGAAGATAAGTCAGTACATGTATCAACAGTTATATCTATATTTTTAATTACAGCAAAATCAATTAAATCTGGTATTTTTTTTCGATCACTCTCTGGCCCAAGAGATATAGCCAAAAAAAGTCTTGAAATTGGCAATCTGTAATTTTAAAACGAGGTGGGCAGTATATAACCGTCAGGTTTAAGTCACTACATCGATTTTTTAAACGTATTGTTGTTGCTTGTAACTGGGCTGTAGCATAAGATTCTAAAGCATGGTGGTTTAAACGACTTCTAACCAACACTGCTGCTCCACTATGCGCCTTTCCATTTGGGTGATTTGTAGCATAGAGTCTAAAACCAGGTATAAAAAATTGTTCTTATTTGTTACATGTATTTCAGATAATAACATTACATCTATAGTTTTTTCATTTCGACATCTGATAATGTATAGTTTGTGCTGGTTAACGCCGTTAGCATTCCAAATACGAATATTTAGTTCGCTCATTTTTTACTTAAAAAGTTTGCAGCATTTGGATTTGCGCTTTAATTAGATCTTGAGTCATATTTTGTATTGTTACCTTAACTTGTGTCATACTTGTACATCAGGTAAGATTTAAAATCATACTTTCAACACCACCGTTTGGTTCTTTTTGGGGCAATTGCGTTTGAACATTGTTTCCTTCTACCACATTTGCATGACTTTCATAAATTATTTTATTTTTAATATAACCAGGTTTTGAACTCTGGTCAGTGATTTCAATAATTTCGTTAGGAGGAATGTTCATCATTTGGTTTCGACGTGCTTGAATTAGGAGCGACACCTTCGGTTTTAAGTCTTTGTATAGAGGGGCAACCCCTATAATTAGCAGTGTGATTTCTTTCCACAATTACTAGCTTTCTTCGCTAAATCCTCTTTCTTAAGCGTACATTTAGACGTAGGGTGTAAATCACCACATACTACACAAACACTGCGACGGGTGCAATATGATTTTGTGTGCCCATACTTTTGGCAGTTAGTGCATTGTATTGGACCATTTCTTTTATGGGTTCTTCAATGGAAATTTAACGGTGGAGGAGATATTTTAAATTATGTATCGAAGGCGTTTAATTTTTTTTTAGCTGGTTAGTATTTGGTATTAATTCAATCTTGAACACTGGGCACTTTATTTCTATTAAAAATATTTACTACAGATTTAACCTCATAACCGCATTCTCTATGAGCTTTTCTGATTTCATTAGAATCTACCGAAGATTTAATGCCTTAAATGACTACAACTAAGACCTTAGAGATTTTCAGTTGATACGAATAGTAATTATACTCTCGCAACTTGTTTAGTTCACCTAACGGTTGTTTGAATCACCTAATAATTAATCGAGAGATAGGGTTATAAATATATAAATGATCAGGATGAAGAGACGAGTTAAAATCCGGGTGAGATTGAGATATCTTTATGGAACTTGGTACACATGTTTCTTGGTACCGTAAGACGGTTGGTATTGCAGATGGGCATAATCGGACCACTGCCACACCCACAAAACGCCATTATTCAAAAACAAATAAATTGCCATAACTAAGCTCCACAACAAGATACAAGACTCTTATTTGGTATACAGCATCACATTAGAAAGGGGCATCTGCAATTTAATTTTTGTTTTAAGGTGGGCGTGGTCCCGCTGACTAATAAGTTTTATGTGCATATCTCCTATACCACTAAAGCTATAATAACAAAATTCAATGGGAACAAATGTTTTTAGCATTTCTATCAATGGTGTGAAAATGGGTGAAATCGGCTGACAACCAATATAACGGTTCTGTTAAAAACTACTAAAAGCGCGATAAATCAAGCACTAAACAATCCAGAGGCATTAAATTTTATCTATGCGTTGGTATAAAATGATTTTAAAGGAACCACATTCAAAATTGGATAGTGGGCGTGACACCGCCCACTTTTAGGTGAAAACCCATATCTTGGGATCTGCTTAACCGATTTCAACCAAATTACATACATAATATTCTTCTCATATATCTATGTAATGGTACGAAAATGGCGAAATCGGATTACAACCACGCCTATTTCCCATATAACATCATTTTAAATTCCATCTGATTTTTTCACTTTCCAGTATGCAAATCAAGCAACAATGATTATATCGACGTAAAACTTATAATACGTTTAAAGTATGCCACCTTGTGATTAAAAATTATCTAAATTGAACCAAAACTGTTCAAGCTCCTAGGTACTGAATAAGTGGACCCCAGTGCCTATAGTTGACTTTTTACCGAAAATATCGGTCAATATAGAACAAGGCGGCAAGATCCACAAAGAAATCTAAAACGAGTATACCATTTGACTTTGCGAGAGTATAAAATGTTCGGTTATAGCCGAACTTAGCGCTTCCTTACTTGTTTTTTATTATTATTGGACAGTAATTTTACGATTTCCATAAAACTTTTCTCTGTGTTTGTTTGTATTTTGCTTTATCAATGTTACCCTTTTTTAATGATACAAGGTGCAATTCAAAAGTTTCAGGACTTTTTTTAAAAAACGAATATTATTTGTTTTTTTTTTTTTTAAAAATTAATGGTCGCCTTCAAAATAGTCTCCTTCCTCCTGAATACAACGTTTTGCACGTTCAAGAAGGTTATCGAATGATTTTTTTAGGTCATTTGTCGGTATAGCGTTGAGGATGGCGGTCGTCGCCTTTTGAATAGCCTCCACGTCTGCATAACGCTTTCCTTTTTAGAAGTCGCACGGTGCCATAACAGGTGAATATGGGGAGTGGTTGATTGTTAAAATTTGATTTTTGGTCAAATAATCGGCCACATGCGTCGATCGATGAGACGGCGCATTATCGTGCAACAAACGCCAACTTCGCGATATTCGGGCCGAATGCGACGAATATGTGCTACCAAACGCTTCAAAACTCCAAGGTAGAATACCGCATTAACGTTTTGGCCGGGTGGAACAAATTCTTTGTGGACAATACCCTTGGAATCATAAAAACAAATCAGCATTGTCTTTAGTTTTGACTTCTCCAGGCGCGATTTTTTGGGTTTCGACTCATTTCTCATTTATGTCCTCACGACCACTTTGAAAACGTTTAAACCACCCGTGAATACGGCTACGGGATAGACAATCATCGCCATAAACTTGTTTCATCATTTGATGAGTTTTGATAAAAGTTTTACCAAGTTTAAAACAAAACTTAGTGTTGGCTTTTTGTTCGATGCTCATTTTCCTACCGACACTACAAATGTAATGTCACATGTAGCGCGATATCTCAGCTGTTATACAAGTCAGCTGTTATATAAATTTTATACGACAACACTGAAGAATACACAATTGAGGGATAACAATTTCAGACAGATGGCGCCACTAGAAGCCACGTTGTTTAAAAAGTCCTGGAACTTTTGAATTGTACCTTGTACTATATGGAAATTGTTTTGCCTACAATGTCACTTAATTTCAATACAAGAGCATTCGAGCTACATTTTCGCAAATATATTGGAGGCGGTTAGGTATCACCCACTGTGGTGGTACCCTACGTCTTTGGTTTCGTTATTCAATAAGGCAAATCTGTTGCTATTTAGAGTTTCATCCTTATTAACGTTTCTAGTGTCGGTTTGAAATTTTTTTTGAATTGACAGCTGTTTTTTAGGACTTGAATGCTGCTCTGTTTTTATAAGGAACACTCAACTTCGCTTCTTTTTTCCTTCACTTTGTTTGGTATCCCGTTTGTTGTTGCGCTATTGCTTTTTACTGCTGCTTCTGCTGCTTCTGCTGAGAGAATCCTCTGCTTCAAATATTTTCCCGCTGCTGCTGAATGCTGCGATGACTCATTTTTGTCACGGCATGTTTTTTTGTTTTTAGGTGTTATTGCGTTGTGTTGTGTCACTCTTTGACAGACTTGAACATTGTATGCTTTTGTATGGGTACGTTCACATCAAAGCGAAACGCAGCAAGGTGAAGCAAAATTTTGGGCAACTCTCATCTTTTTACGCCTATTTTACCATTTTTTTAGACAGAAATACTTAAAGTAAAGCGTTCATTCTGGCAAACCCGTTGTTTTCTTCGCTTCGTTGTTAAGTATGAATTGCCAAGCAAAGCGAAAAAGTTTTATGTAAATGGGCCAATAGATCTTTTGCTTCGCTTTACTTCAGACATTGGCTTTGACAGATAAGTTTGATGTATGCTTATGCTTGAGTTTGTTCACATCGAAGTTAAGCAAAGCAAAATCATTTCTCTTTTTTTCACGTTTTGCTATGACTATGTTCATGAGGACTTATTTTGTCCCCCACACCGGTTTTTGTAGGCTAGGGAACGAAAAAGGGAATGTGCCGCCCGTGCTCGGCTGGCACGCTTTGTGCTCTTGATAGTAACAGCCCACAGTCACGCTATTCGACATTTCTTTTAATTTAGAAATTCTTTTATTGGTTGCAATAGCGCTCGATTTCAAATGAATATTTACATTATGTTCGCAAATGTGTACATATGTAAAAACTCATAACATAACAGATATTTTTCAGAAAAAGATCAATAATGATAAACTTAGCTAACCACAAATATTTTTATGCACCACGTACATGAAGTTTACAAGAATTTGAGAATGTGGAAGATAATGTAAAAAATTGTGCGACTCAAGTTGAAGTGTGAACGCAATAATTGACACCAATAGAGAATTTGCCGATAATGAGCGACCAAAAGAGACATCGTTTAATGGCGAGTTACATATACAAACACTTCCAACCCAAATCCCATATACAAACTTGCCAATAATTATAAAGCCACTCCAAAACCAATACACCACAATGCTGACGATATAGACGAACTCATTGCTACAATAAATAAAACAAGGTAAACAAGAATTTCCATACAATGTAACAAAGTGCTGATACTCATCACTTAATAAGCATTCTTTGTAAATTTATTTTAAATTGAGTATACTATGAACTTTCGTTGTAAGAAATAGTATTCAATAAAATTAGTCTGATTTCTACATTCTTCAGCGATAGTTCGCTGATAATCAAAATAATCGTCTAATTATTTAAAAAACCGTGTGGCGCAGTCGGTAGGATCCTATTGAAAAAAAAAATTATATTAAAGGATCCAGTAAAACGAGTCCTTTGCGAAAAAAACAATAATAATAATAATATATATCACCCAAAAATAATTCTGCGATTCCGTAGCCAAGGCAATAATAAATTACTTTAAATTGTGCAAACACCACAAACTACAAGAATTTTTGTGCAGGGTTATTATATCAATTAAAAAAAAAAGGTAGCCACCACAACAAAGCAAATAAGTGACAGTGCAGTGAACACAAAAGTGAACATCACGACACAAAACAAATAAGTGGCAGTGCAGTGAACATAGAAGTTAACACCACCCACAAAGAGCAACATTCGGTCAAAAAGACAAATGGCATTTGATGAAAGAAGGATGGACTTGGTGGGGCAGGTGGCTAGAAGAGAACAACAGCTGGAGCAGCTCAGAACCGCATATCTTGGGCTACAAGGAAGAAGTACAGAAGACGGGACCAAATATTAAAAAAACATAAGACACATGCCAATATTCACAGGAACAGTGACATCATTTTTTAAAGGAGTTGAGTATTTACTTTCGACAATATCAGACGAGGAGATGAGAAGGGAAGCAGGGCGGACGATTTAGTACAGCAATATACAAGGAGATGCAAAAAGCGTAGTAATAAGCATCCCGGAACCTGATAACAGGCGGCAAATCAAAACAACATTAAACCTAAGATATAGGCCAGACACCGAACCACACCAAATATAGCGAAGGATAGCAAGTATTCGTGCAAACAATGTAATTGAGCTAGCTATAGATATACAAAATATTAAATATAAGAGTGATGAATTAATCGTATATTATGAGGGTACATTTACTACCTGACTTAAGCAACACGGAAAATTTATTAGTGAATACTAATAAAGAAATGACAAAAGGAACAATACTTGATAAAATTTATGACGAACACGACTTGGGAAGAATTTTGGAATTAATGTCGAGAATCAGTATCTGGTTGTATCAGACCAGAATATGGGAAATTAAGGACGAGAGTTTGAACAACAAAAACGTTTTTAGATATCAACCGCAACCAAATGACAATAGACCGTTCAATAATCATAATAAACAACATATGCAACCTCAGAATTCAGGACAATTTAGAAATAATAATTTTTTCAATAGATACCATTTAAGTAATATAGCAACGCCAAATGTTAGGAAATTGTAGACAGTATTCAGGACAAAATCGTTTGAATTGGTCTAGGCAAGGAGAGACTGAGCCTATGGAAATTGACAAAATAGAAAGAAATAAATAATATTTTTTTTTCAGAACTAGCCTTGGATGATTTACCGAAAATTCAAATTACGGTAGGAAAATATGGAGCTTTTATTGATACAGGCGCTTTACTTAGTATAATTGGCGAAAAAATAAATGATTAAAAAGATTGCGATAAAACCAATTCATTTCACAACCATTACGGGTAAGGACACTATTCATTTTCAAAGTAGTTACGACTTCCAGAAGGATGTCGGTTCAGGTGGAAAGTCAGAAGACTAGCCAACCGGTCATATCAGTTCATTATAGGTGCAGATTTACTAAGTGGTCTATATGCATTAATTAATTTTGAAGAAGGTTATATAATTTAAATGAGAAATCAGTGAATTTCATAAATAAACCTTTACACCTCAATTTACACCTCGATCATTTTCATAAAGAGGAATATGATAATTGATCAAAATAATAAAACGATATAATAGGTTATTTTTCAAAGCAAGGGATGTACTTAAAAGTACAATGAAAATTCAACGTTAAATTAGGACGATATCGAATGAGCAAATAAATTCAAAACTTCATAGATATCCACCTCAACATAAGGAAGAGGTAAGAAAACAAATTAGAGAAATGGAATAACAAGGAATCATTACAAAAAGTTCAACAAGATTTTCAAGCCCTTTAATAGACGTTCTGAAAAAAATTGATAACTCATAAATAAATTTAGGCTCGTTGTAGATTATAGAAAATTAAATGAAATAACAATAGATGACAAATATCATTTGCCCAATATTGATTCAATATTAGATAAATTAGGACGTGCCCAATATTTTACAGCAATAGATTAGCAAAAAGGTATCACCAAATTTTAGTAAAAAAAGAAGATAGAGAAAAAACGGCATTTGTAACGCCACTTGGCTTATATGAATTTATAAAAATGCCATTCGGGTTAAAGAATGCATCAGCCACTTTCCAACGGCTGATGAACGAAATTTTAAGATATTATATTAATAAAATATGCGTTGTCTATTTAGACGATATTTTGATTTTTAGCACATCTTTAAATGAACATATTAAAGTCATAAGAGATATTTTCAAAGACCTTGAAAATCAAAATTTCAAATAATCTCTTCAATCTATTTGAGATTTAATTTATATATGAAATAGTAATTTTATGAAAAAGGAAACAGAATTTTTAGGTCATAGTTAAGCAAAAGAAGGAATGAAACCGAATCAAAATAAAATTAAGGTGATATACAACCTGGAGGCACCACGAATAGAGAAACAAATCAAGGCTCTATATAAAGTTTATTAAAGATTATGCGAAGGTAGCCCAAACAATTACAAAGTATCTAAAAAAAGGAGCTAAAATTAATATAAAAGATCCTACGTATATCGAAACATTCGAAAAATTAAAAACGTTAATAAGTACATATCCGATTTTGCGTTATCCAGATTTTGGGACACAATTTACGTTAACAACAGATGTATCCAATTATGCAATTGGAGCAGTGTTATCACAAGAGGGTCACCCGGTTTGTTATGCTCCCAGAACTTTAAACAATCATGAAAGAAACTACTCGGCAACAGATAAAGAATTTTTGGCAATTATGTGGAGCGTTAATTACTTCAGGCCATATATTTATGGTAGAAGATTCAAATTTTTAACTGATCACCAACCGATTAAATTTTTACATTCGAAATATAGACATGTCACCAAGACATCAAAGATGGATATTAAAACTAGGAGAGTATGGTGGTCTCACATTTTGAAAAAGAATATTTAAAAGGTAAAGAAAACCAAATAGCAGACTTTAGAAAATAGTAAGGATTCTATTTCAAAAAAAGTGGAAGATAAAAATACAGAGTTGTAAAAAAATGTCTTTCTGTTAATAATGTAGAAGACGACGTTTCAATGGCAACATTTTTATATTAAAGAAGAGTGAATAAATACAAAACTCAAATAATTTTAACAAATAACAAAATCTAAGAGTTTAAGGCAATACATGCCAAAAGGATTATTTTTAACGCAGAAAATGATTTTGATATAATGGCAGAAATTTTTAGGATATATATTTCAAAAGGAAATAAAGGCATATTCTCGGAAATATCTTAACAGAGTTATAATATAGTACAAAAAAAGTTAATAGAAATGTATTCAAATGATAACCAAATAAAATTCACTAAATCCACAATGCGAGCGCAAGATATCGACACCGAAGTTGAAGCAGCCAATCACATTAGGGAAAGTGCTCACTCAGGCATACAGGAAACATATAATCAATTAAAATATAAAATCTATTATCCGAAATTAATGGAACTGATTCAATAAGTTGTTAATCAATGCGAAATTTTCCAAGAAATTAAATATGATTAAATATGATAAAATGAAACACCGACAGATAAAAACCAAATCATACATATTGATGCGTTTGTCATAAAAAATTTAAATTTTTTAACTATTATTGATAAATTTTCAAAATATGGCGCCGCTTATCCATTAAACGACAGAAATTATATAACTACAATACAATTGAAAATTTAGAAGATAATTTTACGAAGTTGGGAAAACCAAAAAAGAAAATTGCAGACATTCAAAGTAAAATATAATATTACATTTAACAAAACCCAATTCACATACAGGTAATTCAGATATAGAAAGATTTCACAATACTATTTTAGAAAAATTACGGGTATTGTACAGATTCAATAAAAATATGTCAATTAAACAATTAATACAAACATCTATTCGTATTTACAATGAGAGGTTTCATTCGACAATAAAATTTAACCCCATAGATGTGCACAATAATAAAGTCAATAATAAGGTAGTAAGCAAAAACATAGAAAACGCCAAAATTTAAATGTTAACAAAGTTAAATAGAGAAGATTATGAGGAAAAAAGAGCAGAAGGTTTGATAAAGAATTATAAAGCTGTACGATACAAGGAGAAGCCGAAGTATAGGGAAGAATTCTTAAAGCGTATTCATCCATGTAATATTAAAAAACAATTAAAATTTACAGATAGCAGTAATACTTGTAGTTATACTGAAAATAATATGGACACATCTGACTAAAGGAACAATAGTGGTGACTCATCTAACGGAACAAGCAGGATACACGGACGTACAAATAAGAAGATAAGAAATAATAAAGGATTCAGATATAGTATTACATATGATAGATATAAATGAAATTAAGGATATTTTGCAAAAAATAACAGAAAATATAAATGCAATAAAAATTATTCATAATGAAATACTAAATTCAGAATTGTTAGACGCTAAAAATAAATTATTGACCTTATTACCCAAAAAAAGTAGAAAAAGGCGAGGTTTGTTAAATGGAATAGGTAGCTTGACAAAATGGTTATTTGGAAATATGGACGACGACGATAGACAAGAAATACAGAGACGTTTAGTGAATACTGATAACATAATATTTAGATACAATAAATCAACAAGTACAGATTAACTCCTATTTTAATGATAGAATAAGAAATATTAAAAACACTATTCAAAGTGATAGAAAAGAAATAGAAAAAGAACTAAATAAAATAAGTAAATTTGTAAACCAGGAATTTCAACAAAATATGTATTTACAGCAATTAAGTAGAATGCAGTTATTAAAAAGTACGATTGAACAAATTCAGGAAAATGTTATATCGTCTACATATGGAGATATTCATCCAAATATTTTAACTAACAATCAAATAATAAAAATATGAAATGGATTTTAACAAATTAGGTTACCTTCAATTAGGGACCGCCATTTTTAATAATACTAATTAAATTTTCGCTATAAAAATTCCGCGAACATTTGTAACTGTTAAGCTAAGAAAAATCGTACCTTACATCATTTATAACGAAATTACAATATATATGAAATGGAAGAATTATTTAATTTAGATAGTAAAACTTATAAAAATTATTGTATTATAAAAGAAAATTGCTATGTCAAGCAAAATAAAAATTTAAAGATAGGTCGAGTTTTTCTGCTATTCCTTGCGGTTCGGTTACGCAACACTTTAGAGCATATTGCATTGTTCATTTTTATGTCGGTATGGTGGTCTCACATTTTGCTTACAAAGAATTACCGTGAATGATGTTAATATTTTCAAGGCCAAATTTATGACGGTATAGTCAAACTTCAACCGTTAATATGTATTGTAATACACTTTTTTAATTACATTTAACATTAAATTTCACACAAATTCCATTTTCATTCAATTTCAATTCAAGAAATAGAAAACTGTAACGTGGAGGAGCTCATACTGGGAGAGACTTTCTTAGAGTTGTCTATCAATCAATTTTTTAGAGTACCAAGCGAACCACCCACTCCAAAACATATATAAGTAATTTGTTAGAACGCAGGGTGCAGTACATTCCTCAACTTTCAATTTATCTATCTAAGTAAGTTTGTATACGTGCAATCACAAACACAGGAGCATGAGCGAATAATTGACAAACTTTATACAAATGTACGCTTGTATTGTGCGAAAATTACGAAAATTCCAAACATAGCTCTCACATTTGTTAGTCAGCCATTCGCGCAGGTTTGCATGTTTGTGATTGCGCATATTGTGATGCGTACGTGCTAATGAACTTACGGATGTAAGTAAATATAGAGAGCTATAATGCGACATGCCACAGATGCACGAAAAAATTTTAGATTATTGATAAAAATAGTTAAATACTTTAACGTAAAATTTTAGCAGTACGATTTAACTTTTTCAGTTTCTGATTCATATGCATATAGTTGAATTAATTGCTTCAGCATTTTAATTTCAATTGTTTCAGATGCCTAATCATTGTCAATCGCTTGAGCAGTAAAATGTTGAAAATCAATGCTGAACCAGGATTTTTCACGGAGGTATTCACGGAATTGAAATCATGTGGGCAAATATTATCGAACGCAAATGGAACCTTTACCTGTACCAATGCTTGATGTACAGGAGAACTATACGTATGTAGGTTTTCATTTACACCATACATTCAGGCCCAAGCGATAAACGCTTAGTATGTTTAATAACAATTATATGTTAAATTGCAGAAACACGTCAACCTATCTTAGACATTATCAGCGTTAAATGCTGCAAATAAAAAGTTTTAGAAAAGTTAAAAGCTGTTTTTCTATTATAAAAGTACTCAAAGGTAGGTAAGTTATTTTCAATCCATTTTCGATTACCTTGTACGTTTTCATATGCCGATTGCTCAGAGCTTTGCCATGATCCAATTATATAAGTTTGTGTCGTTAGCAGACAACAATTTTTCATAAATTTTTTTACTCATAATATCAAATTCAGGTGTTTCGGTTATGTTTTATATGTTTATTCAAAATAATATTTTTTTAATTATTTCAGCCAATAAAAGAGTTATTTTTGAATGATAACTAAATAGGAATTCATAGCAAAAAACTAAAAATCGTCAAAATGCGAACAAAAATTAATTGAGAAAAATTATTTTCTTTCCAAATAGGCGTGTGTGACATTTACATATTTTGCTACAACAAATAATTAATTTGATTATTTTTTTCTTTCATATCTGTACTGTTACATGTTAGGTTAGATAATAATAATGCAAGATCCCTTTAAGGTAACTGTGAACGCTGGTCATTTATGAAAAAACTCCTAGATATGGATCACCCTTATAGACGACGAAGCGCTTTAAGCAGACTACAAATTTGTTAAGGTGGCTAATATCAATTCCAGCAACTTCACACGGTTCACCTATAGTGTTTTTACGAGATGTTTTAACCGTAGTATGGCAAAATGTGGACAGCTGAGACGATGAGTTTACGTCCGACAAGATATGTAAGAGCCTATCGGACAGTGTCCAGTTAGAACGGCGAGAGGAATCATGCCAAGAGCAAGTAGTTCAGAGAGCCTCTTTCGTTCACCTATAGGAAAGTAGGATCTCGCATCCGACCAAATTTTGGTTGTTTACCAGGGCTTTCCAAGTTCAAGGGAGGTCCATAGACCAAATAGTAGAGCGCAAGAAGGCAGCAGAGTACCGACTCATCACCAATCTGATGAAATAGGGGTAAAGGTTCTCTCTCCAGCAAGCTCATTGTCACTGCAGTTTTCAGCGATTCCGCTGCGAACCAGGATCAAAACAAGTCGGATAACAAAGCAGATTTATACTATTAATGAAGGTGTCTAACATTCCATGATAATTCTTGAGCGCAATGTCAGCGAGCTCAAAGACATTATTTCAGCTCTGGTGTATATATAGCAACCAAAACACAGGAAGAGAGCTGCAAAACAGAACAGATAATTAAAAAACCCTCAAAAATAAAACTACAGATACATTCTCCCCAAAACCCCCTTGAGGCGAGACTAAGTAAGTGTATCGTTTTAATTTTTTTTTATTACAATAATTATATATGTATGTTTGTAAATCCTGTTAAAACTAGAAAAATCCGTTTTAACAGATTCAAAACACGGGTACAGTGTTATACTTCTAAAAAAGGATCGGGTGAATATACTTATATACATACAAGTATATACTTATATAATAATTATACTTGTATTTACATATATATGTATATATACATATTATATTAAAAAATTATTGATTGTCCTAACATGCGCAGATTTATTGATTGTCCCCACATTTGTATATATATATAGTACACAACAATCACAAAATAAAAAATAAAAATTCAAGTATTGTAATTAATTTTTTTTTAAATTTAATAAGTAATTTTGCAAAGAATTTCCGGCAGTACACCTTAGGCTTAAATAAGCAATAAGCAGGACTGCATAACAATAAGTAAGCTAAAGGCACAGTAACAATTACAGCTAGAATCTACAGAAAAAAAAATACATATATATACATTCAATCGGCAAAGAATATGCAAATTGCATTTACCGACAAATCTTATAACTAAACATTCACTTATATTTTTACATATATATTATATCAGAATATATTAAAATAAGCGCAGTCGGTAAAATACCTGCCAAATTGAAGAATTAACTAAAATTCCCAGAACCAATGAATAAGTACTGTATAAACAGAAAATGAATAAATTAATAAATTGTTGTATAAGCATAATTGTAATGGTTAAGTAAGTTAGTCAAGTAAGCAGAATGTAAAAGTAGAAAGCTAAGTATTTTTAATAATTGTATTAGTTTTCTTTGTGAATGAAAAACTGAAATAAAGCAGTCTTAATTTTGCACCTTAGCTGGCTGGTTGGCCTTTGCCATAAGCTCTCGTTGCTATTTTTAAAAAAAAAAAACTCCCCTGACGGACCCGATTAGGAAAGTGGCGTAGTCGGTAATCCTTTTTATCAACAAAAAAAAGGATAGTGATACGAACACGAAATAACGTGAACGTATATATATATAAAAAAAAAAATATATATATATATAAAGAACCCTTACTAATTCTGCGATTCCGTAGCCAACTCAGGAGTTGACCGGACCCTCTAGGATATAACATAATATATATAAATCAAACATCAAAAGTGGCAGTGCAGTAACTTTTCAAAGAAACCACCCACATAAAATTAAAGTGGCAGTTCAGCGACTTTTAGAGAAACCACCCACATACAAAAATAAAGTGAGAGTGCAGCGGACCAAAGATCTTGCGAAGCCACTATCACAATTAACAAGAAAAAAAAGAGTTTGACAAAGTGCATAAGCGATAGGTAGCAACAACAAAAATGCTACCTTAACTTCATCAAATCACATAGTACAACCGGATCGATCAGCTAAAGCGTGGTCAGTGAGCCACAAACGCAAAAACTAGGACCAAAAGACAGGAAGCTTTTGACAGACGAAGAATGGAACAAGCAGAAGCCACAACCATCGACATAATGGAGCAGCTAGTGAGGCGAGAACAACAACTAGACCAACTTTGCAATGCATACATAGAACTGCAAAGAAGCCAAACAAATCAACAAGAGAAGGACAGGGTCATAAAAAATATTAGCCATCTACCCATATTCACCGGCACAGGGAGTAGCACAAATTGACGAATGAGGAAACAATGAAAGAAGCAGTAAGGACGGTTTTCTACAGAGTTATCCAAGGCGAGGCAAAGGATGTGGTGATTAACATTCAGGAAACCCATAACTGGAACAAGATAAAGGAGGCATTAAAAAGAAGATACAGACCAGACACGGAACCTCACGAAATATAGAGGAAGATAAGTAATTTGAAAGTAAACTCGGTAAGTGAGTTAGTCGTTGAATTACAAAATATAAAGTATAAAGCGGACGAGCTAATTGTATATTATCAAGGTGACCATAGCATAGATTTGACTAACATCGGCAGACTTTTAGTAAATATAACCAATGAAATGACCCAAGGAACATTACTGGACAGAATTTATGACGAAAGAAAAATAGACACAATAATAGAAACAATGAATAAAAGAAGATACGAAGATAGTTGTATTAGATGGGAATTCAAGACATCTAGGACGTTTGAAGTACAAAATAAACCACAAAAACAAGTTAATTACAAAGAAAAATTTTCGCAGAACAGATATAATCAGAATTCGGGCCAAGTAAACCAAAATCAACGACCCAACTTTTATAGAGAAAATTATAATAATAGAGGAAATTTTTACAATAATTCAGGACAATTTCGAAGGTACCAACAGGTAGGAAACCCTAGGCCAAATTTGAACAGAAGTCGTTGGAATCAAGCTAGGCAAGACCCGTCAGTACCTATGGAAGTAGATAACATAGAGGCAAATTCTAAAAGATACGGCAACGAAGACCGTAGATATAATCAAAAAAGATATGAACAAGAAAAAGAAAGTAAAAGTTTGAGTAGAGAAGACAAGGAATATAGTTCAAGGGAACCTCGATTGGCAGGACACCCTATATCGCAGTATAGCCAAAATCGCTTATACTCGAATAGGCACAGCCAGACAGGATCGTCAAGTACTAGTTATAGAGAAGAAGAAAATGATAATACAATTTTTTTTACCAAGTAGCCTCGGAAATTTACCAAAAATAGAGATTCATATTAGTGACAAAAAATACATTGCTTTAATAGACACTGGCGCAAGTTTGAGCCTAATGAATAGTGTAGTAAAAGATTTTCCGACTAATAAACTAAATAATCCACTGACTATTAGTACAATTACAAACAAGGACATAATACAATATGAAGCTATAACAATTGCACCAAAAGAATTTAATCTACCGGAAAAAGCAAGAGTTAGGTGGAAAATAGCAATATTTGATGGCAGAAACTATGACTTTATAATAGGAACAGATATTTTAACTTACCTCAATGCGTTTATAAACATGGAAGAAAAAACGCTAACCTTAAATGAAGAAAACCGCAATACAATTAACCCATATAACATAAACGAAATTTGTACATTGGAAACTACAGGAGATGGAATTGAGGGTATAAAATTAGATCATTTGAATTTAGAAGAACACAAGGAGGTAATGAAAATTTTGAAACGATTTAAACACTATTTTTTAAAGAAGGAGACCGTTTAACGAGTATAACAACAGTTCAGCACGAAATCAGGACTACGACAAATGAACAAATTAATTCCAAATTATATAGGTATCCACCCCAACATGAAGAAGAAGTACGAAGACAGATTAGAGAAATGGAAGCACAAGGAATAATTAGAAAAAGTCAAACACGTTATTCTAGCCCACTGATAGTAGTACCAAAGAAGAGGGACAATTCTGGAAAACAAAAATATAGAATAGTAATAGATTACAGGAAGTTGAACGAAAAAACAATTGATGACAAATACCCCTTACCAAATATTAATTCTATTTTAGACAAGTTAGGAAAAGCACAATATTTTACCACAATTGATTTAGCAAAGGGTTATCATCAAATAATGGTTAGAGAACAAGATAAAGAAAAAACCGCTTTCGTTACTCCGAGCGGAC